ATGCTTATCCTCACTGGGCTGCTACTTCTAAAATCTTTCTTCTATAGTCTCAGTATGCCAGCAAACCCAGGCCTGCCGATATCATCCTTTCATGCCTTTTGACTGTACATGAAGCAGTAATCAGAGAATAGAGTTCACTGTTAATATATTGACCTCTAAAATACAATGTTACAAATACAAACCAGGGTTTTAATGAGAGTCACCAAGTCCTTAATTTATACAATTTTTTCAATATGGAAACTACAAAAATATTCTTGATCATCTTTATTCCATGTATGTATGTCCTGACTGCTTTATAATACCTAATTTATCACAAGAATCTCATTAGCTTATGATTATATTCACAAAGAAGACACCCATCCTCTAACGGTTCTAGCTGGGATTGGACTATGTAAGAAGAGAGCCAATCTTTACAGTGCCATAGCGCCATTTTTAATTTGACAAGTGCCCTCCTGGTTCTGTGCCCACCATCCTTTACCAGGATGGACAAGTACGGTTGTCACCTTCTGTACTATGCTTATGACAATGATGTGGGGTATAAAATTTTACAGTGCTTTATTTTTAAACTGAAAAATTCCTGTTTCATGGTTATTCGTAACCATGAAAGGATGTGAACGGCAAACAAAATATTAGGCGAGTTTGGCAATTTCAAACTAGCAAATAACATTTTTCAGGTGATTTTTGCTAGCAAGCATGTGACAGGACACATATATGCCAATGCAGTATAACACATATACAATGTGAGGAATGGAATTAATTAGTAGTGACAGCAAAACTGACAGTACCCCAACAGCTGGAACTACTTAAGTGGTTGTCAGCACATCATGTTAAAATGTATTAATTTATCTACCATCTTCAGTACCTTTGTTTTATAAATGTTGTCAATGTGAAGGAAGTACATGGTTTTGTCCAAGCTTTTTAGACACATATTCCAATTAAAATTCTATATACCATTTTAAAAATCTAAGTATGGTTTAATTTTCCTTCCCAGTTATTTCAGGTGATGCATCTTGTTGTAGAAGTACTGTGCTGGTGGTTCTGTTACTCAATGCTAGGTCAGCACATAACACAATCTCACTGATCTGTGATTTAATTGTGGATGAAGGTGCAACCTGGCCTGCATCATTGAGACCTGGGTGGGAGAGATGGGAGGTTACTCTCTCCCAGATATGCCTTCCTAGGTACTCAGTATAGCACCAGCATCACCTGGAGGGCCGACGGGGAGGTTGCTCTGGTTCATAGGGATTCTATCCCTCTCTCCAGGCTTCCTGTCCAGTCAAGTCCAGGCCTTGAGTGTCTTTACCTGGCATTGGGTGACTGAGACAGATTGGAGATTCTGCTGGTGTACCATCCACCCTGCTACCAGGCAGACTCCCTGCTTGAGCTGACAGAGGTAATCTCTGATCTGGTGTTGAGGACTCCCAGGATGTCAGTCTTGAGTGACCTCAATTTCCATGCTGAGGCTGCCTTATCTGGGATAAGAACTTCATGGCAGCCATGCACTGTGACCCCTCTCTTTCTAGCTGTCCCAGGATTCTAGCTGTCCCAGTCTGCGTGTGAGCCTGAGAAAATGAGCATCCTCAAGTCCCCCTTGTCCCTGATCTATTTGGTTCTCACATTCCATATCAGAAGACTGAGAGATTGTTTTCATGTTTACTCCCAAATTGTCCTGGTCTCATGCCTGTTTCATCTTCTCTCTGCACCTCCTTATCTGATCCATTCTTACTCTCAGCATCTGTGAGAGTGGGGAGTAGAGTTTGTTCTGCTGACACCAGAAATAACTCTTCATCGATGCGCTGGTTCTCATGAGAAGTTTCCTCCTCTTGAGCCAGTGTAAGGGACTCTTCTGAGCACACACACGTGACAGAAACTGAATATCTAGACTCCTTTCAATCAGAGTTTCGACCTGGATTTGGGACAGAGATTGCCTTGGTTGCTCTGTGGGTTGACCTTTGCTGGGAGAGAGACTGGGGAAGTGCAACCCTTTTGATTCTCCTGGATCTCTCAGTAGCTTTCAATACCATTGACCATGGTATCCTTCTGGAACAGCTGGCCAGGTTGGGAGTAGGAGGCACAGCTTTGCGGTAGTTCCACTCCTACTTGGCTGACCGGTTCCAGATGGTGGTGCTGGGGGACTGTTGCTCTGTACCATGGTGACTGCAACATAGATTCTGCAGGGTTCGATTCTGTCCCCCATGCTTTTTAACATCAACATGAAAACGCTGGGTATGGGCTGAGGAGTTGTCAGCACACTGACGATACCCAGCTCTACCTCACTTTCATCCGATCCAGGAGAGGCAATAGCTGTCTCGGACCAGTAATGGGCTAGATGAGGGCCAATAAACTGGAGCGACATCCAGATAAGTTGGAGGTCCTGTTGGTGGGCACTCCCACACCCCAACTAGGAAATTTTCAACCTACCTTCACTGAGGTTGCACTCCATCTAAAGGATAAGGTTCATAGCTTAGGATTGCTCTTGGACCCTGAGCTCTCCTTGATTTCTCAGGTAGACTTGGTGGCCAGGAGTGCCTTCTGTCAGCTTCGGCTGATTTCTCAGCTATGTTCCTACTTGGATGAGTGGAGCCTTGGCACAGTGATCCATGCACTGGTAACCTCTCGCCTGGACTACTGTAATGCGCTCTATATGGGGCTACCTTTGAAAATGATCTGGACATTACAACTAATACAAACCGGACAGCATGGCTGTTTAGAACTGGGTGGTGAGAGCATATTATACCGGTCCTCCACCTGCTGCATTGACTCCCTGTTCCAGCCTGGGCGCAATTCAAAGCGTTGTCTTTGACATATAAAACCCTAAGCAGATTGGGACCAGGGTACCTGAAGGAGTGCCTCTCTCCATATATTCCTACCCATCCACTTAAGATTCTTTTCAGAACTGCTCTGAATACCCTCCCTAGGGAAATCAAAGAGGAATGGTTTAGACGAAGGGCACTCTCAGCAGTAGTGGCTAGACTCTGGAATTTACTCCCAAGGGATATACAGCTGGTGCCAACTCTTCTTCCTTTCAACTGCCAGGTGAAAACTTTTTTTATTTAAGGAAGCTTTTGGTTAATTTAATTTAAATACTTTCATATTTTGTTATGGATTATTTATTTTAATTATTTTTGGTTAATTCATGGGCTGTATTTATTATGTTTCATGTGGCTATATTTTATAATGAGATGCTTATCTATTATTATACTGTTTTATATATTTTATCTGTTTATTGTTTTTATTGTATCTTATGTATTCTATGCTGTTTTAGCATTTGTAAGATGCCCAGAGTACCTTTGGGTTATGGGGCAGAATAGAAATGGAATGAAATAAATAAAAAAAAAAGCAAAAAAAAAAGCTAAATTATATCAATCTAGGGCAGGGTTGCCCAACTTTTCATACTTCAAGGGCCGCATGAGAACTTTGACATGGAACCTGGGGGGTTGCATAATGAATTATATTTCCATATCATATAAAGTGTTTGAAATATATTAATTTAATTTACACAATTAATATATTTAATTAGCCTTTAAATGAGGGAGGATTAATTTTAAGATGATTTTAGAACTAACTGAATGAAAACAAATGCTTTGTGGGCCTCTGATCTCTGCAGATCACAGGCAGTTCCTTCTCTGAGCACAGCCCAAGCACAATGACTGCTCCTCTGGGCTGTCCCATCCCTTCTTCCCTGTTTCTCCTGCCTAGAAACTCTCCCATGTGACCCCCACCCCCGCTCCTCCTTCCTTCTTGGAATTGGCACATTGAGCCTCTTATACTTGAGCCAACGAATTCTCCCCAGCATGCCCCTTTGCTCCTGCTGATAAGAGCAAGGAAATCCTCCATCCCACTCTCTTCCTGAGGTTCTGCAGTAGTATTTGTGTGTGCCTGGCTGCACCCACCCATCCAATACAGCGCCTGATCCAAGGGAAGACTCCCATTCCTGCCCTACCCACAGCATGGAATGAGAACTTTAAAACCTGTTTTCCTTCTTTTTCGTCAATTTAAAACCAAGCCTTAGCAGACAATGTAATTTATTTTATTTACAGTATGTTCAATGCTATCCTCCCTTGAGGCTTATAATATTAAGTGCATTATTACAGAGTAAGCCCTACTGAGACCACCAAGTTCTTCCCCTGAGTAAGACACATAGGACTCAGTGCAAGTGCCTCTCCCAAAAAATCAACAGCTCCATCTATGGCATTGTGTTGTACGTGTGAAGGCAAAGAGTGCTCCTTCAAAGATCTCTCCTCTATCTACCTATCCAGGATAAAAAATATTATGTTGAGTGGGAGACAAATTCAGATAACTGCAGGACTGTTTACTCCCACATCAACCTTCCAGGATGCCACTAAGATCATCTTCAGAAGCCCTCATCCAGATGCCCCAAGCATATGCAATGAGATGGGTGGTGACTACAGTAGAAGAGATGTTCACCCCTATTGGAATGATCATCCTGCGGAGGCCTGTCTGGTTCTACTCTTGTATTTTCAGCACCAAGCAAAAACCTTTAAATAATCTAATGGTAATATCATAATTTTAGTTATTTTTTTCCTGTATCAGCATCTGCTATTTCACACTAGTTGTTTTACATATTCTGATTTTACTGTTTTAGCAGAATTGTAATTGCTAAAATACAATTATTAAAACTGTATTTGTATTTTGTATATTTTACAGAGTGCATATAGTAGTCTCCATATACAACATCAGTAATCACAAGGCAGCAACTGCTACATCAGAGGCAATCATAACAATTTACACCGAGACTGTGATATCCAAGTACCATATTCTTAAGCCTTGCTTAGCACAAATGAGAATCTAGCAGACTTTACTGCAGTAACAATTCAGGTTACTTCAAAGAGGGATAATTCTACTTTCAGATCAACAAGTAAAGTACAGATTCCCCATCTTCTTGAAAGCCAAACAAACAACTCTAACCCTAAAATTTTCAGGAGCCCTAAAATAGGATACTGTGTGAAAGTTTGGTTCCACCTGCACACTATACATACCTAGAATTTTCACAGCACAATGTGGGCTCTCCAGAATAACTCCTTCTCCTGTTTCAAACATAGGGTTGTCTATTCCAGTTTTGGGAGGAATCTGAGCTAACTTTTTCAGACGTATAGAAGAATTAAGATCCAGTTCCTGTTTCTTTCCCTCTTCCTCCCGTCTTCGCCTCAGGTCATCTTGCTGTTGTCGAATTCGTTCAAGCTGAGCACTCCGCCGTAGTGGCATCATCCTGGTGCCCAGATCGCTGGGGCAATCAACAGCCATCTCTCTGTGCTTCTGAGGCTCCTCCAGAGGGGCAAGATCCACATTTTTTGTTTCACTGTCAGAATCTTCCGTTACATGTCCGTTCATATGAGACGTTGTCATTGTTGTTTGTAGTAAGTTATGCCACTTGTCAGACATAAACTTTATAAGATCTATTTTCTTGATGGTACCACTTAAAATCCATTATAGTGTCAAATAATTCTTATGGATACCTGATGAAAAGCCACATCGAGCAGGAAATCTGAGGAAATAATATATACAAATAGTAGGGTTAATCTGGGAAGACATATTCCTATACCTCTTTCCATTGTATTCATTTTCTATCAATACACTTAGTAGGAATGTTCAGGCACACAAAAATTCATATATTCCACCCCGAGGTTAAAAGCTAGTCGCTGTTTAGTAGGGAAAACTAGACTAAAAATTTGGAGCCTTGCTCTATGTGTCCCTATTAGACCTAGGAGAGGAAGAGAACTATCCAGCCCCAAAAGGTATTCATCTATAATCCATGCAGATCTAAAAATGACTAAGGCTGCATATGCACTAGAGTAGAATGCATGCACATACACACAGTTAATAACTAGCTATTAATTCTTTGAGGATTTATTTCACAGGTGAATTGGTCTTTCATTATTACCCAGATAGTTCTATCAGTGAAAATCCTTGCTTCACGAATTCTTGCCATTACCTTGGTTTTTCCCCAAGTTTTCAAGACGTATAAGTAGTCTGAGTTCCAGCCTAACTCTTCCACAATTACAAAATGACATCCCTATAACCCATCTCTGCTATTTTTCAGGACTTTCACTATTTTTCTTTGACCCCAATTGTCATCACCTCTCACAACAACAAGAAAGACTATCAAATTTAAACAATCAAGGTTGTAATCTTGCAATTTATTTATTTATGCAGGTATTTTATAAATGCTAGAAGTTGTGAGATTTTGTTTCTGCCTAAATATCCATAGGATTGCCCTAACATGCCATCTGCCATCTTAATGGCAAACAGCTTTGAAAACCAATACTGCAAACACGGATGATCCTTTTTCCTCTTCATTCTGCATCAGAACTTTGTAGTTTTGAGTATAATGAAAATATCAATGTGTTCTGTACAATAAACATAAATTAGAACATGTTTCATTTTATGGTGCAGGGTGTTTTTGTTTTAAAAGGTATTCATTGCTGAGTAAGCTGGCTTACTCAATCATTTCATTAATACGCAATGGCTGTCAAGGACAGGTTGACCATGACATCACAGTAATGTATCATGCTTAATAAAACAAGTTGCTGTTTATACTTGATACTTCCCTGTACTCCCAGCCTCTTAAACTTAATCAAAGAATCTGAAGGAGTGCTTTGTTTATGAAACCCTATTCTTGGCCTTAATATATTTTCTGGTTACTTATGGGTTTTATTACAAGCTACTCATCTATTTAAAAAAAATCCCTTACTAGATAATGCTAAGTATCTATTTAGTCCAATCTCTCTTTTTAAATATGGATAACCAAATGTCTCCGAGATGTGACAGGTAGGCCATGAAGGAAATGACTCTCACCTTTACTTCACCTCAAATTTGGCACTTAGAGGTATACTGGGGCTAGAAATGGCTATTATACTTTACTATCATGGCTAACAGCCTTTGATAGGCATGCCTTCTATGAACCTTCCTAATTCCTTTTAAAAAGCCATCTAAAACTTGGAGCCATTACTTTATACTGTAAGTTCAATAAAAGCAAGTAAGTTTCTACTCTAGCAAGGAACTTCAAAGCATCCAATAGAGTAACAATCAATATTAGTGTGTAGTAGTATCAGCTGTGAGATATGGGCAGGATTTTATCAAAAAGCTCAACTTTTAACTGTAATCTCTATATACACCATCTCTTAACATTATATCATACAGGGCTAAAAGAAATGTTTGCTATTAAAAGTAAGTCGAATAGCAGGCGACATCCAACATTATGTGAGTGGCCCTTCTTTCCTATTGCCATATGAATAATCATACTGAATTAGATCGAGGACTTATGTACTCCTGCATTTTGTTTATACCAGGTTGGATAAAAATCAATGATTGAATTTTTAAAAATTTAAATCAGATTGTTTATTTAAGTTGGATTTTTAAAAATATAATGCTTTCTGAGGAAAAATCTATCTAAAGATAGTTTTCTATTTAAGCTACATTACAGTCCAAAAGTGAAATAAGCATTAGTTTTTATGTAGCATGAGGCTGTATATTCATGAGTACCATGTACACCAAATTTTTGGTAAATGAATTCCATTAATCTATTCACAATGTCATGCTCTTCCAGAGGTCTCTAAGATTATTGGGAATTTTTTTTCTATCTACAAGGTATTATCACAGATGCTTGGTTTTACAGCTCTCAAAACTGTGAATATGTGCAGAGATCACATCTCTTATGCACAGCAAAAATGTTATAAACATACAGAGTTGAGAAAAAGATCTTAATTCCATTGTTCCTTTGCAAATCTATCTACACAAATTCAACCCCTTACCTCTTAAGTGCCAAGTTCCAAAAATTTCATGAATAAAAGAATGCTGGATGTGGAATAGATCTACACAAGAAGCTAACTGTGGGGGGGGGGGGCAGTAAAAATGAAAGTGAACCCATTTGAGCAGAATATTCCACAAGTCTTTGGATCTTTTTGAGTATAGCCTGAGGTTTATCATATTATTCTTTTGCTGGAAAAACCTATAATAGCAGCAGGCCATAAGAGAGCCAGTTGGGGAATATTTTATAATTATATTTAATAATTCCTCTACCTAGAGGTAAGGCAGGCATGCAGACTAATTATGCAGAAAATCATGACTCAAATCTTGTCTTACTTGATTTAAATTTAAATCAAATCCCTCCTGGTTTACACAGTGGCTAATCAACTGTCCAAGGGAAGCCCAGAAGCAGGACATGAACGTCATGGAATCCTCCTGCTCATGTTACCAGCAACTGACATACAGAGGCACACTGGAGATAATGGACAGCCATAATGACTACCAATCATAGTGATTACCTCAAAATTCTGAAACAGATTTGGGGTGCACAAGGAGCCACAGCAAAAAAGGGAAATGTAATACACTAGCAATGTCCATTATTCTAGCAGAACACCACTGATACAACCCGCCATTGCTTTGCCCATTTTTGGAAAGCAATCTCTGTCCATGTTATTTAAAATTACAACTGTCATTTATGTTACAGCTACTATTTTCAGTGTATCTGGATAGCCTGTATTTTTAAAAAGCATCCAAAACAGTCTCCCCTCCCCCCCACAAAAAAATCTGTTCCTGGTAATAATAATCAGTGTTTCTTCTTACTATTTGTGATAACTGAAAAGTTTAGAAAAAGAAATGTCTGTCAAGAAATGTCTATTTAGGAAAACAAAATGTCCTTGTCAAGACTTTAAGCATTTTGTAAAGCTCTATAAATGAAAACATCAAGATTTCAGAGGCAGAGATAAACTTGCAGCTTGTCGAATGTTGAGCTTAAAAGACCTAAGCCATTACAGCATAATAGCTCATGAGAAAAAGAACTTCATGTTGCTTCCTACAAGTGTTTTAGATATTCTCCCCAAGTATTACACAGGCAAGATAACCTGTACAAACATTATTCAAAAGCCACTGCATACTACCAGAAAGAGGGATATATTTAAACAAGGCATTTACTCAAGGTCTTTGGATTTCAGGTTTTAACGTATCTACTGACCTTCTTAGCACTCAGCTACCTGGTTCAAGGCAATCATCTCTTTCTGCCCTATTGTGAAATGCTTGTTACCAGAAATGTCAGAGTTTGTGCTGCACACAATTACTTTCACTATAGGTTAGTACTGGATCTTAGAAACATAGAAACAGAGCAAGACAGAAGGGACCTCCCGGGCCATCTAGTCTGACCTCTGGCACCAGCCGGCTCTGCTCACGACATGCCCACCATGTGGACGTCCAGCCTATCCTTGAACACTCGCACCGATGGGGCCTCAACGACCTTTAAACATACTTGTTGAGAGGAGGGAACAAGGAATTGTTCCATTAAAATAAAATGTCTCAACATTAAATTTGTATTGTGCATTGCAAGATAAACAAGAGAAATGAGACATTACAAATCTGTCTCTTACACTTACAAAATACCTCATAATATATTGTCCATTAGAAACAAGTATTACAACATAAAGTTCTCAGAAATCACCAAAACATTTAGTCCACATATGGTACCAAGTCATGGTTTGGCACTAAAAAGGCATGTCCTGCACTCAAACATTCCCTCCTCCCCCCACACTTTTCACTTATTTTTTTCCTGTTTTGTACTGAACCATGGTTTGGTGTTTCATATGAACTGAAAAACTATGGTTTCTACTTTCTACCTTTGAGGGTTGGGGGGGGGGGGAGATGGTAAGCATAAACCAAATAGAAACTAACTAAGCAGAGCATACTGCAGAAAGAGTGGAGGGAAAATGTGCTACTACAGAGCCAATTCCTAGGTTAAGGGCTTGGTGAGCAAACCCTTACCTATTCAGGAGCCGTTGCTACGGAGTAGTGGTTATAATATTTCTATAAATCTGTACATACAAGCTTCAATGACAGAACTGTAATGCTTAGCTAGTGCTTTGCAAAAAGAATACACCCTAGGCAATTCTGTAACTTTAAATATTGACCAGTAAAATAAACAGAGTACTCAATAATTTGTCAATGCAACTGTTAAACCATGTTTCTACAGCCTTCACCAACAGGTTCTATAAAGAGATCAACATCAGACTGCCAAATTATAGCATCCAATATTTACATTTTCATGCAGGAATAGACTTTGGATCCTGTTGATTATGTTTTCAGCTTGCACTCAGAAAAGTTTTGCTAATGCCGGAAGAAGGAGCATGACAGAGTAATTTTCAAAAATTCCTCCTTTCTCCAAAGGCCCATGTCCCTCCAAGAGACAGATCAAAACAGCACAGCAGTTGAACTTGACAGCTGAAAGGGGTTGCCAGCAAAAGTCACCTTTAGTGGGAAAGCTCTACAGGACCAGCTCCCTCCACAAATGGAAGGAGTCCTTTGTTGGTAAAGGAGTACATCTGGATCTAACTCATTTTTCTCAAAAACAAAAACCTCCTACATGGATACCATAACACTCTTTTCCTTGACCAGGTTATGTTAGAAAAAGCTTGTGCAGGAAGTTAACTTTCTCAGAGGCAAATGGACAGGAAATATATTGCTTTTAAATAAATCTGGATATCTAGATAGATGTGCATA